AGACTGAAATAATTCTTGCTTAAATAAAAATATCATTAGTGGTTCTAAAAAATATGAATGAAAATGACATGACTTTAAATTGTAAGTAATTAAGAAGAAAGATTCTTTTATGAATTACACTTTATGTGAAACAAATATAATTTTTTTCGTCTAATTTTTATGAATTATATCTTAATAGTCTTAATTTAATAAAATAGGTAATCGGATCTTGGGACATTTAATTTCAAAATAACTTTAAAAAGTTCAAAATTATGAAATTTCGTTAAAGGAGAAATCATTTCTGTTTTTAACAAGAATTATTCAATGTTCTATACAAAAAATATGAATTTATTTTGCATCAGGGATATACAGGAGAAGATGAATACATAGCTTGTCAAGGTCCAAAAGAGGAAACTACTTACGATTTCTGGAGAATGATCAATCAGTATAACATTAATATTATAGTTATGCTGACACAGTTGGTCGAGAAGGGCAAAGTAAATTACAATTATCAATAATAATTAGCATAATGTTAATACCATTTATCGTACATTAATCTGCTTTTCAGGAGAAATGTCATCAATACTATCCCACAACAGGAGAAATTTTTCGTTACGAAGACATGATAATACGATGTACAAGTGAATTGGACTTCAGAACATATACCCAAAGAACGCTTGTATTGCAAAAGGTATCTTTTTTGATATATAAATAATACATATATATATATATATATATGTACTTACAAAATTTTTAATGAAAAAATATCTATAAAAAGTACAAATAATTACAGGAAAATAAGAAAAGAAATATTATTCACTTGCACTTTAAAGACTGGCCCGATCACGATGTCCCAGAAGATTTTGATTCAATGATTAATTTTTGTCAAATAATGCGCCGCAATATTATCGCTAATAAAGGTTCCGTCGTTGTTCATTGCAGGTATCAACAAATTGTTTACGAACAGAACTGTTTTGCATTTTACGGTTTCAATTATAACGATATTGTTAATTTCATTTCTTCTTAATAATAGAAAATATCATTTTTTTACAGTGCAGGGATTGGTAGAACAGGAACATTAATAGCGATAGATATACTTCTGCAACAAATTAGAGATAATAGAAAATTAGATGTATTTGGAACTGTGTATAGATTACGACATCATAGAATAAATATGGTACAAAGAGAAGTAAGTGATTCATAGTTAAATAATATTAAATTGGCAAAAAAAAAATTATAATCTATATTTCGGTTAGATAAGATATTGAATATTAAAATTTAAGAAGTTGCGAAAAATCGATGTTTTTACTAAAAAATATTTAATTTGACATTTCATCGAGTCCATGTTACATATTTGTTTCTTTTTACCAATTAAACAAATACTAATGTATACAATAATTTTTACCAGTTAAAAACTATTGTATACCTTAGTACTTTGTCATAAATTCATATAATATAAAAAGAACATTTTTTCAGAGTCAATACGCTTATATATATAATTGTATAAAACAAGTACTCAAGAATCCTTATTTCTTAAAAAGTTGTAAGTATCCTTTCAAATACTATGCTTGATATACTTCTCCAAAAAAACTTATCTTATCTTGCATTTTCGCAGACAAACCACCACCAGTTGAGCCAATATATGAAAACACTCCTAAGAAAGCCAAAGACACAACAAATTCAGACACAATTCTAGTCAACAATCTTGAAATATGTATGTATTATATATTTAATATATATGTATATGTACTTTATTCCCTGTAGCAGACTAGATATTTTCTTTACTCTTATGTATTATTAATAGTATAAGAAAGCACGATAGAAATAACACTAATCTATTTTGTACTACAGAATGAGAGTCTCTCCAACTATTTAATACGTGATGAGGTAGGAACAAAATGCTTGGATCGCGTTATCTTTTTTCGCTTCGCATTTCCCTCTTGCTTTACTTATATATATTTCTTATTTTTTCGTGTATTTATTTAATATCGTTTGAGCTAAACATATAACATTCATTGCTTCTCTATGTATGGTTTGAGAATAATTTTGCAGCTGATATATGCTTGCTATGAATTGGACATAATGCAATATGGAACGAATAAATTATATTTTAATTAGCGAGTGATTATTTTTGGCATTATATTAAAAAGCAAAATTTTATTATTGTGGTGTTTTTCTAAGCTACAATTATCGAACTGCTTTTTTGAGTCAGTTCTATATTGCACAATTGTTTCTATCTTTATCTAATTATTAAACCTTCTAATATACTGCATGATTAAAATTATTCCAGTAAAAAAACATAACTCCATATCTCTGGAATCAATCGATACTCTCTTTTCTCGGTCCACTTCAACAATAAGAAATAGCGGTAAGACTGAAATAAAATCTCATGAATTTAAACTGCATTAAGTACATGCTATATCAAAAATTAAATGGCAAGAAAACATGATTTTGTTCAATATTATCTGTTTGAAATGTCATTTATATAATGCAATAGATTTTATCCTATATAATTTTATTTTAAGATCTGAGACAATGCAAATCAATGGATGCCTTAAATACAAAAACTCATCACATACCTATAGGTCAGTAAGAGATATCAGTACATGTGTTTTATATATATAAGTGTGTGTGTGTGTGTGTGTGTGTGTATTTTTTATTATAAGAACAATGTTAATTTTCAGAAAAATCCCGCACTCTGAATTGTATTTTTAAACCACTGAGGGATTCGTACAAGCTAATAAATAGAGAAACTTTAATACAGGAGAGTGTTCCATTAATAACTTATTCAAGTTCAACTGATGTACTTGGTGATAGTGTACAACATGTAACAAATAGTAAGTCTATCTCTTTAATTTATGAAATTTACATTTTGTACAAATTTTTCATTATTTTAAATAATTTATTAAATCTATCTATTTTGCAGCTGTGTGAGAGACGACTGAATTGTTTATAATTATTCACGTGTTAAATTAATCATTAATACTTAGATATTAGACCAAAGTATATATTGTAATTACATGTAAATATAATTATCTTGATAGAATATAAGATAGAAATCTTAAGGTAGAATTGATATTGTACTTTTACGTACTATTTTTTATAAATAATTGTAATTTTATGTATGAACATTTTCATATACATATGAATATACATCAGACGCCAGAATACATTATGTGATACCGAAAATGTTTACCAACATTATTGCCTAATATATGCCTTAAGGAAAATAGTTCAACTAGAAAACATTTTAAGTAACAGAGATGAATATTGTAATTAGAACGTACATTTAAATATAAAAACCATAATAAAATAGTAAATTTAAAATAGTAAATAAAAAATTTTATAAAATTCTTTAAAATATATGTATTATTGACAAGTTATCGTATGTACACTTATTCATATAATGTATGCATTTTGTACTTTATGCTTATTTTATCTTACATTTATTTTTAAAATATGCACAATATGCGCAATATAAATTACAACGAAACTTACAATTATCCATCCAAAATCAAATTCATCTAGGTTCTTTCATATAATGCAGAGATGGGATTTAGTTGCACATTTCGGCCGATTTTCAGCGTGATTCGATGGCCAAGTGGCATTCAGGCTGTACGCGGGTTGAAGTAAAGGGCAGGAGAGAGAATCAAGCTGAAAATCGGTCGGAATGTACAACTAAATCCCAACTCTGATGTAATGTATTACCTTGAAATAAATATAGCATTATTATCTATTTTCAAAATACAAAAGCGTTCATATATTTTACAAATAAATTAATATCGATATTTAGTAGAATAATCCTTAGGAGAAACAACTAAACCTCGACCTTTCCTTGCACCTCTGTAAACTGTTTCAATAATGTCGATCATTTCCTGTTTGTCTTCCAGAGTCCAATTTATTTTGTTATTGTTTCCAGTACCTAAATCTATCATGATGTGTTTGTTTCTGAAGAAGAACATTACTGTACATGGATCATACAATTCATACCTATAAAAAGTATATATTGTGTATATATATTTTTATATACATTATTGTTAAAATATTATACCACTAAAATATATTTCAATGATCAGTCTTAATTAATTTACGTAAGAGATTTTATTTATTTTTTAAAGGATTAATTAAATTGTTAATTAATTATTGATGCAACATATGGACTTATAAGGACATAAGTTCCTACTTACATTTTATTAAAATCTGGCACTTTTGTGATATCCACCAAATAAATAACAGCAAAGTTCTTAACTTTCTCTGCGATATTATAGAGTACTTCATCCATTTTCATACACATCGGATCCCAATCATGTCCAAAGCGAATCACCTAGAAAGAAAGAGATATTATTTTCAACGCGTGAGTTCTAATTCAAAATAATTCTGTTGTAATTGACTTAATGTTTATTTATATATAACGAGAGAGATGAAATAAATAAGTGAAACATGTTGAAATAAACTCACCACGACTCTGTCTTCTTCCGACAGAATGGCTTGATCGACTTGATAGCCGTTTTCCAAATGCGATAGCATATAAGACATTTCGAGATGTGTGCAATACAAAATTTGCGATTACAAAATGATGCAGTTTTGTTTGTGTTAAGACAATTTAAAATGTTGTTTAAGGTTAGGAAGCGGACTGTCTAAAGTCACTAGATTTATTAATCTAGTAACTTTAGTACTGTCACTAGACTGTTACGACGCCAAGATCATTTTACTTGTACTTTTAGCACTCGGATTCTGCACTCTTTCTTTTCATGTTCTAGAAATTTCTTTAATTCTTTCTGTATTTTCCATCTTTGTTTTCTTTCTTTCCAAATCTATAATTATACAACTAACTTATTTCAAGTGCATGTATAAAGAACAGACGTCTAAAGGTAAAACGACAATTAATGGAAAAAAATGAGAAAAACTGCTATTTTGTGTGAGGCATGTAATTTATTGCAAAAAATAAAACTGTAATGTTATACTTTTATATATCATGGAATAAGTAAAACAATTATTTATTATTTTTTACATCTGATGCAAATATAAAGTAAACAGTGGAATAAACAATATTTATGTTTTGGAATTAAGCAGATCTATGTATGCTTCCGCGATTAAGTCATCTTTTTTTATAAACAATGCTTGCATGAGGTCGTCAGCAATCTTCTGTCCAGTTATTATATCCTGATCTTCTTTCAACACTACCTGTATTAATTGATGTACCATTTCATATTCTAGGTTTATCTTTATCGATATAATAAAATAAGTAAATTTACAAACCTCTAGTTCTATAAAATTACCCAAACCATCAACTTCGTCAATATGTATTCGAGTTTGTCCAGCAATGAATAATAGTCTCGTTTTTTTAACAACTCCTAGTATACCATTAGATTGGGTCAAAATACTTCCAATTGACTCAACAATATCTGAGTTTAACGATACTTTGTCATAGGTAGACAACTTTGGTCCAGAAACATCAGGTCTCTTGTACAAGATTAACTCTGCACTACCATCCTAAGAGACAAGAAAAAAATGCTTAGTATTCAGATGATAATATTATGTAATTTTATATTTATAATTGAAAAATTTAATAACTGCTCCAACCTTAAACTTTCGTAATTTCAATCTTCCTTCCTTTGTCTTGAAAAAAATATCATGCTGTTTGATTTCAGTCTGAGCTGTGTCGCTCAGCTCTGTAGCTTTTGAAATGGTATGTTCAATATCTCGAATTACAGCTTTGATCTCAATGTTACGCATGATTATCCTTGGAATCCTCTAAAATTTACAGAAATTTATTAACTCATTTTATTTTTCAGATTCTCATCATGTTTCTTATCTTGTTCAGATTCTTATCTTACATAGGTCTGTTTGCATTGCTTGAAACCTTCAAAAATTTTTACACTTAAATGAGATAAATATATATTCAAGCGTAGCAGAAAAAAAGAAAGCAAAGATGCTTAGTGCAAAACATGCAAGCAGCATAAACAGACCTATTACAGATTTCTATACATTTAGCTTATAATTGCAAATCATAATTATAAATCATAATCTGACAAAAAGTATTCTAGCCGAAAAGTATATAGACTTCATCTTTTATTTGTACATTCATATAATATATTATTTA